GGGAAGGGTCTACAGGGTGTTGAGATTCTCACAACTAGATCTGACTTGTAGTGATCCACCAGTTTACAGCCTCCCAAGAGCTGGGATTACAGGGATGCACCACCACGCCCAGTGTCAATGGCTGTCTCAGTGCAACCTGGGGGCAGGGCCGGCACGGCAGGCCTGGGGATCAAAACTCCAGCCCCTGCGCCTGCTTGCAGGGGCTTTAATCCACTGAGCTATTTCATCAGCCCCAGAAAATATCTTTCATAAAATCAAACCTCCTTGTATGAGAAAAACCCAGAAAATATTAGGTGCAAAGGAGAACACATCAACATAACAGGTTACGCATGACACTGATACCAAATCATATTAAGTGGGAAAACACGAATAATATCTCTTTATACTTAGGATGAGACATGGGTGTTCCCGTTGAGCACTTTAATTCTATATAGTAATGGCAGCTTCAAAAGAATCAGAGAACATAAAGAAGTAAGAGCGATACAATTGGACGAGTAGTAATTGTCCGACATCACAGGAATTATTCACTGAAGAGAGCCTAAGGAATCCACCAAGTGCCCCTTAATACAGAGAACTGTAGCGAAGTGAGATGACACAAAATGAACACGTAAAAATGGATAGTTTACTGTATATTAGCAATAAACATGCTGAGCAGAATATAAGTAAAACAGTCACATGCAATATTTTCAAAATATAAAATACCTCATTGAAAGGTGAAAGTTATCTAACTGAAAATCATATAGTACCACCAAACAAGTTGAAGAATACAGTTGAAAATGAAAAGAATTTCCACGTTCCTGGATCGAGAAAATTAATATTGTGAAATAACCATACTATCGAAACTTATCTAGCAATTTATTTATTTTTTAATGCATTTAGTAAAGGGTCTCACCATGTAGATTGGACTCCTACTGATTCTCCTGATTTCAGGCTCACATGTGCCTGGTTTATAGGCGAAAACCACATAGCAGGGCTTGCAAGTCACACTGGGGATAGAACTCCGGTCCATGCGATATGCTACATAGGTGTATTAGTCTGCACAGCTATCTGGCCAGCCCCTTGATGAATTTTTTTTAATCACCTGGCAATTTAATGTGATCTTCATTAAAACATTTTAGTGATTGATCCCTCCTGTCATCTTAAGAAGTTAAAAGCTTAATAAATCGGCTCCACAATTCCACACCCTAGGGTTTGAAGGCACCATCCTGCTTTGACTTATCACTTAAAGGACATAAAAGAGAACTCAGAAAAGATGGGGCCCTCCCTTTCTTCAAAAGGCCTCTGGTCTTCACAGTCTGCTTGGATGTCCTCTGTTGGCATCATTGAGTGCAGACTCGGCAGCCTTCCATTGCAGACTCGTCGGCCTCGCGATACTGAATCCACAGAGCACTGCAGAGAGCTCGTGCCGCTGGACTGGACCCTCAGTCTCCAGAGCACAGACACCATCTGTGCACATCCCCCTCAGGCTGTAGCTGACCTAGAAGCCGACCTTGTCATCCCACATGCATTTAACTTCTTGTGTTGTATCTGAACCTCTAGGAACACCCTGATTGTTACAAACATGAATGATGTTCCTCACAGGACTGCAACAAAACAATCTAAAAATTTATGTAGAAGCAAAGAAGACTCTGTAGACACAAAGAAATCCTAAGCAAAAAGACAAGGCTGAGCTATCACAATATTTGACTTCAAAATATGCTTACACACTGAAATGAAATCAGTATACTACTGACATGAAGAACAAAGACCGGGAAATGACACCATATATTTAAAGCTATCTGATTCCTAGCAAAGATGCCGAAAACATACAGTAGGACAAAATACAGCGTGTTCAACAAGGGTTACTGGGAAATCAGGACATCTAGTTATAGGAGCCTGTAACTATAGCTTTCCTACTTTATGCAAAAATTAACACAAAATAGATCAAGGATCTTAATGTAAAATATGAAATCTTGAATCTGGTAGAGACAATTAAGGGCAAGAATTCAAGTTACTGTTGCACGGAATGATGCTCTGAATACAATGCCCAAAACACAATTAAAGGCAAGAATTCACAAATGTGACCACATCAAATTAAAAAAACTTCTGCCTAGAAACAAAATAATCAGAAGACAAGAGTGCACATAGCATGCTGGAGTTCTTTTCTCACTGTTGTTCTAGCAGAGGAAATAGCTACGATATATAAAGAACCAAAAAATTTTAAAATCAAGAGAAGAACTAATTTATAGAGCAAATTGAAAATAGGATAAAACACTTCTCAAAAGAGATAATACAAGTAAACATATAAAAAACGTAGCTCGCGGGAAGATGCCCATCAACACTAAACTGAAACTCCATCTCACTCCAGGCAGAATGTACAATGCTTAATAATAGAAAGCTAAAGGGATCCTAGTGAGGATGCAAAGGAAAGGTCCCTTATGTACTATTTATGGGAATGTACATAACTTTTGTCACTGTCAGGGCTCCTGTCCTGATGGCCCCCTGAAGTCCCATGCAGTCATAGGGCTTTTTCAGAGGCAGCAGAAAGTATAGTGTGTAGCTGATTCCTGGTGTGATGCTAGGATTAGGGTCCTAGAATAAAATGTGGGTGAATGCTAAATCAGTACACATCTTGCCTCAGCATGAATCTAATCTCAGTACCCAGGGTAAAGTACAGAGGACAGAAGGAGGTACTTTTTGGCTCTTGCTTGCTTTCTGAGCTTCTGCCTGCCATGAGCTGCTTCTCCCCTTCCGTGCCTGTCCACCATGCCACCTTGCCTTGGAGCAAGCCCACTATGCACTGAAACCTCTACAATTTTGAACATAATAACACTCTTCCTCTTTAACTTTGGGCGGCAAATATTTTGTCAGCAAAAAGAAAAGTAACTAAGCCAGCCACTATTAGAAGACAGTATGGAAGTTCCTGCTGTCACCGCAAAACACTAAAACTGAGACTTCTACATTAGCCAGGCATAGCACTCCTTGGTACATATTTAAGTAATGAAAGCCAAACACTGTAGAGATATTTGCATCCCTATGTTTATCATAACATTATTCACATGACTGAAGTTATGGAAAAAGACCAGATCCTATCATTGCACGAACAATGAAATAATGGTAACTATTCATAAAGGACTTATTAAACCATAAAATGGAACAATCATGTCAATTGCAAAAAAAATTAATGACACAGGCTATCATATTAGAAGAAACATTACAGCGTTTTAGAAAGAAACAGATTTATATGCTCTGAAATATTCATATTTCATATAAATATTCATATTTCATATTTCATATGAAATATTTGGGAGGCTCAATGAGACAAAAGTTGAAAAGAGAATACTACTGGGTGAAATACTTAAGGGTGTGGGAGGGCAAAGGTAGGACAGGACAAGAGAGAGACAGGCACAATCAAAGCATGTTGTATGGGTGCATACAACTGCCATAATGAAAGTGGGTATGCTGGCACATGCCTCTATTTCCAGTACTCTGAGAGGCTGAGGCAGGAGGATCTCAAGTATGAACCCAGTCTAGGCCACTCAGCAAGTTAGTGAAATTGTGTCAAGAAGACAAGGGTTTGCCCAACAGGTAAATGCAAAGTCCTAGGGTACAATCCGCCCTACTGCAAGAACAAGAAAAAAAAAAAAAAACAGATGATGTTTTGTACAACTTCCTAAAGGGAAAAAGTGTCACACCTACCTAAATCATGCACCCAAAAACAGCCCAAGTAACGACACTCACTGTGTTCGCAGACCATCCTGCTGGAATGGGCTGTCCATGTTGGGCTCACAGGAGCCAGAGTTAGCCACCAGTCTGGCCCCACAGGAATTTCTGTTCTCAATACACAAGGCAGAACTTTTTTACAAGGTGCTTAGAGACCAGGGTGGGCATCCATCTTGGTGCACATGGAGGTGTGGGCTCAGGCTTTCCTCCAAGATCTCTGCCAGACCCCTGTCTGCACACCCGGGGTTCTCCAGGGTACCAAGGGCTATGGAGCTTGTGGGGCCCTGTGCTCCAGCTGCAGACACGGAGCCCCTCACAAGGGGAGGATGTGAGGGCCAGAGCATTCCCAGCTCTAGGGGTCATGCTCTGCTGGGGAAGCTCCTCCCAAGTGTGATGAGCAGATGGTATTTCCCTGCTGACCTACATGCCCCGGGAGCTGTGAGCAGGCACTTCCAATGCCCAGCATTCTGTCCCGCTGTGTTCTCCATGCTTGGCCATGGTGAAGATTCTGGTGGGGACCCAAGTCTGCAGGTGGAGATCACACTTGTCCTTTGTGCTACCCATGAAGCATGAGGATGGCCAGATCAGACAGCTGTGAAGCCAGTGGTTGCTGAAGTGGCTGCTGCTGTCCCTGTCACCAGGGCAGGTGGCTGTGTCTGATTCCAGCCAATGGAACATCAGCCCTTCCTGGTGTAGGACCCCACTGCTTCCACCGAGGCCTCAGCATTCTTCCTGCCTGCACAGGGGTTGCTACAGTGCGACCCAAGGTGCATCACACCTGGGTACATGGTGCCCTTCTCAGCATGAGCCTGTGCCCTGTGTTAGCGACCCAACCTCACACAGGCACATGTGCTGAGTCAGCAGAAAGTGCCCCAGGACTCCGCTGGGGAGCTGGTGGGTGCTCTGCTCAGTCAGAGACTCAGGGACATAGTTGAGCAACAAGGGGCATGCAGGAAGGCCTGGATGTGATGGCACTCCTGATTGTGTCCCAGCTTCAGCCACTGGAGGGAAACCCAAACACATCTAGCTAGGACTTGTGACATGGGAACAAAGAAAAATAGCACCTCAAAGTTCTCCTGACTTTGTCCTTTTTGTCTGGCCAGTGTCCCCACAGGAAAGCCAGACATTGGTGCAAACTGTAAAATAAATAATATTAAAATTTTCTAAAAGCAAAACAGGACAAAAAACCAAACAACATACTGAAGCCAACAAAGAGCCATGGCCCAGCCATGGACCAGGTGGGGGCACGATTAGATTGCTCCTCGTGCTTGTGGGTGGTGGCAGAGCACACGAAACGCTTAGGCTACAACCAGATGCTCCAACTCATAGGTGAAGACTGGCTGGCCCCTCACAGCCTGCACCAGGACGAGGCAGGATGGTGTAAGGGGTGAGCCCCAGCAACAAGAGCACATTTCTTTAGACCGTCAGAGCCCCCTCTAATTTCCAATAAGTGTAACCAAGAACTTGCAAACTCTTCCTGGCAGCAGCTCATGTTGTTAACTGTTGGCACCCTGTGAAGGGCCTTGAGCTCGTCTGTAAGCGACTGCCAACATCTGTTTGCATGTTGCTGTTTTCAAACTTCAAACAAAAGCAGATGATTATTATGTGATAGTGCCAGTGATGAGGCACAGGGACTCCATTCTAAGGGAGGGCCACTTACCTTAAACTCACTGCCCCACCCCTGCTCTGTAGCTAACCATAAACTCACTTAGAGAAAACCAGGGTCATCAAATGGGATCAAATACTTAAAACAGCTTGGGGAATAGGGAATGGTTGAACCTCATGACCCCATGATAGGTAGATGGTCAACAGTATCTGAGAAATGTAAACCTTGTGGCAATGGTGTGACATTCCAGTAATATTCCAGAACAACAAGGAAATGTGCTTACTATGAAAACCTAGAAAGTGTATAACCTCAAAGTGAAGCTCAGGCTTTAGCAACAACTGTGGGAGTCCTGACCCAAGGCCAGGGCATGTCAGTCAGTCAGCGCCTTCCACAGCTTTCTGGTTCTGTGACACTGTGTCTTTGGTGGGTCTCTTTGTCAGGGACTTAGCTTTCTTCACTGTCATGTGCTGCTACACTTGGAGAAAATAACCACCACAACACCTGGAAATGCATATTTTTTCAAATGTATGTGAAACGCGAACCAGGCAGCTTGCTCTGAATCATTTACCTTCAGGATATTACACAACTGTGGCTGATGCTAAGAATATGTTAATGGTACTTCTTGTTAAATTAAATTAAAGGTGGCCTCTTCATGGGAATAAACACTGATGAGATAGGAAACATTGATTAGAGCAATGTTGAAATACAACCTCTAACCTAGACGCCATTAAAATAGGTAAAGCTAGCAAGATGGCTGCAAGTGGTTTCCTCTGGGTGCTGAAATAGCTGTCCACCCACTTGGTGACCTAAGTCATGTGCATTTAGTGTGTCCAGGCTTTGGAGGCTGAACATCTGGAGAGCATTTCACGGGCCTGAGGGAAGGTTAGCAGCAGCACACTGGCTCTGAAAGCTGAGGGAAACTTTCTTTCTCTTTCTTTTAAACAGATTTGGTTGTAACAGGGTGTCACTGCATTGCTCAGACTCACAGTGACTGTTTGGTTTTCAGCTTCCCCAGGCTTGGGATTCCAGGCATGTACCACTGGACTTGGACTGTGTGGCTGACTCTGCCTAGCATGGGGTTAGGTCTCACCCTGCATGTGGTGCCTGGGGTCCAACTACTAGGCATTTACCTGAGCTGGCCTAAGCAGGAGCTTTAGTCTACTGAGCTATCTCATTGCCCCTGAGGGCAAAATATTTACCTCAACAGCTCAGGGATACCTAGAGGGTCAGAGGCATATGAAGAACACACTCTGTCCTGCCTGGTGCTCGGGCCATGCTGCAATAGCTCAGTTGCATCCGCACCTACTGGGCAAGCACAAGACCCTGAGTTCAATCTCCAATACAAAAAAATAAAGAGAGAGAGAGAGAGAGAGAGAGAGAGAGAGAGAGAGAGAGAGAGAGAGATGGATTTACTAACCTGGAGCTATACATAGTGCTATGATCAGTGGTGAAAATCTGAAAACATATTCTCCTAAGAGCGTACAAAACTCCCACTTGTCATGCTGGGACATGTATCAAAGTAGCCTGGCAAAAGTCACTGTCACAGATATATGGACTTGATGAAGCACTATACACATTTGAAAAGGTCCGCTCCCATTCCTATAATGTAAGTCCCACATGAAGGCCCTTCTGGAGCTGGGTCTGTTAGGATAGCTCATCACAATGTGCCTATCCCCGTTGCCATCTCTGAGGATTGCAGGACGTGAAAGAAAGCAGGCCACAGGCCTAGGTTACACTACAGCAAGCTCTTCATTGCTTACAGAGCGTTCTGAGCACTGAACATATTGTCAACAAACTAGGAGTGCTTTGTCCCCTCAAAGTCCTAACTGCCTGGAAAGAAATCGCATGACGACAGCACAGAGCAGAAATGTGAGGGTCAGCATTGTCCTACTGCACCCAGGATCTGTTCATATTATGTCACAGGGACAGTCACTGAGGTCCCTGGGCAGGTACTTGCTGTATATGAATTGTACAAAAAGTGGTACCTCAAGACTGAATACCAGGGCTTCTAAAGGGAGCTCACGTGCTCACGGGCTGAGGAACTCACAGCAATGCAGACAGTCACTGGGATCTTTTCTGGGAGTTGTTTTGTTTCACAATCATGTGAGCAGAGTCTGCATTTTCAGGTGATGAGAGGGAGTAGAAACCTTGAGGTGGCAGCTGTGCCTGCTGGAAATCACTGGATTTGTGCTTGCAGCTATGCAGCTGGTTAAAAGATATTCAGTGAAGAGCTCATTGGTTGGCAAGAGGCCTGGCATGGTGAGGCCACGCAGAGGTCTCAGAACATTAGCCACTCTGCCTCCTCCTAACAGGTGAAAGCTAACAAAGGTATGAGTTTTGACAGGTCCTAGATGATCGCTGCTGCACTTTGGAAGTTTGCTCCAAGGCAAAGCTTAACAAACCAAAGCTCAGAGACAGAGAGAGACAGAGACACAAGAGAGACAGAGAGAGACAGAAGGACATAATGCTCTATAAGAAATGCACTGGGTATGGGCATGAATATTCATCTTCTACAGAAGGGCTGAGTGGATCTTCAGAGTTGGATAAACTGGGGCATTTGTTCGTGTGTGCAGATGAACCCTGAGTCTGCTGTAGAGGACCTGCACATGGACCCCAGAACTTTCCACTGAGACACCAGCAGGAGACCAATGCCTACAGGAGACCAAGAGGCTCTGTCAGCAGGATCCTAACATTCAGCAGCTCCACCCCCAGCTGCTTTGGTGTCTTCTTATCTCCCCACTGGGAATCATCTTCAAGACATGCTCCAGATTTCAAGAATCACTCTATTAGGGCAGGTGAGATAGCTCAGTGGACTAAGTGCCTGCTTTGGCAAACACAGGGATGAGGGTTCAAACTCTAGTCCTGAATGTCGGCCTGTCCCACGCACTGGGTAAACAGAAGCGAGCAGGTCAGCCATGTAGGTGACACTTGTAATCCTAGCCCTGGGGAGGTTAAAAACAGTCCAAGCTGCATAGGAAGACCCTGTAGCATAAAAGAAGAAAGAAAGAAAAATAAAGAAGAATCACACTAACCTCTTCCATTGTCATGTTATTCTTCTTTATGTGAACAGGAAGTGGGCCACATTCCCCACCCTGGAAAATCAATTACTTTGATCTGTTTTGCTTTCTATGAAGTTCTAATTACACATTCTCATCAAATTTGCTCAAAAAATGCAAATTGAGGGATG